ATAAATTATTGCAATTTGTTAATATTCATGCTTTGGTGTTTCCCAAGATTATGAAACAGGAACCCATAAAAAATGCTCAAGTGGTTTTCACTGATGGGTCTTCCAATGGTACTGCGGCATATGTTATTCAGGGAAAGCCACAGATTGTTCATACAGCCCCTGCCTCCGCTCAGATTGTTGAGCTTCGCGCTGTCGCTACGGTTTTTAAACTTTTGGCCCATTATTCTTTCAATTTGTATACAGATAGTCATTATATTGTTAAAGCTTTACAGGTGCTTGAAACAGTTGCTTATATTGATGCTGCCAATAATCAAATACAGGAGCTCTTTGCTCAGATACAATGGTGCATACACGCCCGGACCTGTCCTTGTTAAGTGGGTCACATTAGGGCTCATTCTGGGCTTCCCAGACCCCTGGCAAAGGGAAATGATCTTGCAGATCAGGCTACACGGCTAATAGCTTTCAGTCAATTGGAATTAGCTCAGCAGTCTCACGCTCTACATCATCAAAATAGCCACAGCTTAAGAAAACAATTCCATATAACTCGAGAAGCCGCTCGACAAATAGTTAAGCAATGTTCTGCCTGTCCTACACATCATTCTGTCCCTCATGGGGTAAATCCCCGTGGCCTTAAACCCAATCAGTTATGGCAAATGGATGTTACCCATATTGCCGAATTTGGAAAACAGAAATATATACATGTAAGTATTGATACCTTTTCGGGATTTATTATGGCCACCGCACAAACGGGAGAAGCTACGAAGCATGTGATAGCCCATTGCTTAACATGCTTTGCCACAATTGGGGTCTCTATCATTCTTAAAACTGATAATGGCACGGGATATACTAGTAAAGCTTTTCAAATCTTTTGTAAACAGATGGGTATCGCCCATAAGACAGGTATTCCTTATAACGCACAAGGCCAAAGAATTGTGGAAAGAGCCCATGGTGCTCTAAAAAAATCAATTGCACAAAATAAAAAAGGGGGAGTTATACCCTTTATCCCCACAGAATTATTTACATCATGCTCTCTTCATCTTGAACTTTCTGATTGTGGATGCTCATGGAATGACCGCAGCAGAACGGCTGTGGCATCCTAAAACTAAATCATCACATGCTCAAGTGAGGTGGAAAGATCCCCTCACGGGTGTATGGAGTGGCACCGGCCCAGTATTGATATGGGGATGAGGGCATGTTTGTGTTTTCCCGCAGGACGCTGAAGGTGCCAGGTGGCTGCCTGAAAGATTGGTCCGTTTCACGGGAAATTCTCCTGCCCCTCAGGATGATCCCGACAACTGTCCTGCTGATAAATCTGACGATGATGCTTAATGGGGAAGTTTATTGGACTTATGTACCTGATCCACCTGTTGTACGTCCAATGAGCTGGGAAAGTGGAGAAGTAACGTTATGGGTGAACAATACCAGGCTGTTGGATGAACCGGCGGCCCCTGACAAGAACGAGGCCCGATCGTTCAACTATACAGGATCAGTAACCAGAACCCCCATATGTTTTTCCAAAATCAACAAGACTGGTTGTATAAGACTGAGTGCTCGCACCCTGGCAGGAAGGCAGGTAGATCAATGCAAAGGCGGGATCACTGGAGTCCATCTACATTTACCTGTGGGTATGGAGACCACTGGTGTAGTGCCTCAGACTTTTCCACCTTGTGGGAGGAGAGAATGCTCCAATAAGACTATTCCATGGAAGAGATGTGCGGCGGATGCCCCTGTGAGATATAATATTACTGGATTTGATACTTATGTTTTGGATTGGTCTGAATCTCGGGATTATGCCTCTACTCAGATGTATAATTCTCCCTCTCCTAGTCCCCCATCGCTAAGTGAAATAGCGCTCTCTGCAGGGTTATGGTGGAGTGACAAAGGATATGCTCAAACGTATATTTGGAAATTGGCTGAAGCTTTGGATGAGGTTAAGGCCCAACCCGACAATTCTTATCATCCCAGAGGAAATGTCACTGCATGTGTCATGTGCCCTTATGTATTGCTTGTAGGAAATGTTAATATTCAGAAAGGTAATGATTATTATAATTTTACTTGCTTTAATTGTCAAATAAGTAATTGTATCACCCGGACAGAAACTCAGGTGATGGTTTTGCAGCAGCCAGCATTTGTTATGACGCCAGTTAATGTTACAGGGGCATGGTATGCAGATCAGGGATTACAGGTGTTTGAAGAAATTAATAAGGCTCTAAGTAGACAAAAAAAAGAGTAGTAGGGTTAATTATTGCTGGAGTAATTGCACTTATATCCCTTAGAGCCACTGCCATTACCGCCACCGTTGCCCTCTCTCAATCTATACAAAATGCACATTATGTGAATGAGTTGTCAAAAAATGTTACTATGGCCTTGAAAACACAGGAGGATATGGATCTTAAGATGGAGCAAAGAATAGATGCCCTATATTCTATTGTCACATATTTAGGAAATGAAATACAAGGGCTTAAAATTAGAAGCAAATTGAAATGTCATGCTTATTATCAATGGATTTGTGTTACTAGTAAGATATATAATGATACAGGTTATGAGTGGGACAGGATTCGGAAACATCTGCAAGGGGTCTGGCATAGTGCAAATGTGTCCTTGGATTTAATACAGCTTCATAAGGAAATTATGGATCTCCAAAATGTAGAGCTCCTAAAATTTGATGCAGCCCAGGCTGCACAGGATTTTATTGAACAAATTAGAAAAGTTCTGCCATCTGCATCTTCATTTACACAGCTACTCATTTCTGTAGTAATCATTGGAGGAGGGTTACTTCTTGGATGCATGATCCTTCCGGTGCTACTGCGGGTGTTTTTGCATTCTTTAATGAGGACGGCTGGAAGTATACATGGTCTACAATTATATGCTGCGCCGCCTAGGCCCATGGTGTAATCCCCTGCAGAGGCTGGTAGTCAATGACGGGTAAGAGAAGTACTGGAAATCACCAACCTAAGACAGAGCAAGAGTACTGTGACACTCTTGACTCCATGATGGTTAAGGGATTTTTGTATTCCTTGCCTAAGACAGGCAGTCTATCTGGATGATCAAGGGAACTTGACATACAATATAAAAAAGGGGGAGATGTGGAAGGCAGTGTTAGCTATGAAGATTCCATTTTAACTTTGCCCTCCACCATAAAGGACAAGATATCAGCTCTGGGAATACTCTGTCCCTGCCAAGCCAAATGCTTATCTTTAAAGATTGTCCTGTGCCATGATGAA